GACTTACACCAGTACGCCTACAAACCTTCTCAGGTTGACGATTGTAATTTGTGGAATGTACGGACACAAACAAGATTAACCATTAATTACATCAATTGGAACTCACACAATTATTTAACACAAACATATGTACAATCACTACATCAAATGTTGTGGATTCTGACACGACAAACTACCCTTGAAGAACTGTAGGACTTACAGCAGTACGCCTACATTCCTTCTCAGGTTGATGATCCAAGTGGAAGTCGTCCGGACACAAACAGAATTACCAACAAATAGATGAAAGATGATATCAATTCAGTATATACAATATGAACATATGTACAAAATCACATACCAAGCACATTGGACTGCTCATTGATGCGCTACCCTTTGAAGAATTGTGGGACTTACAGCAGTACGCCTACAACCCTTCTCAGGTTGACGCTCTAGGTTGGAAAATCGTCGCAGACTTCATTTGCTAACTTCCTTCTATCAGCTATATCCTCAAATCTGAACGCCAACACGCCCATGTCATTGTATCGTAGAATATAGATGACGAACAAACACACGACATATCTCATCAACCAAGTGTAGAGGCAGAGTAATTTACACCAAAGATAATAACATTCAAATAGTAACTTGAAACTAGAAATGCCTTTATTCACGCAAGTCAATTTAACAATTACTCTCTCGTTTACACTTGGCTTATCCTCACTAAACTGACCATTGATATTCGTCCTTTCAAACGAACTGATACTAGCATAGTCATTGCACAAGATACTTGAGTTCATGGGAGTCTGTTTCATTGTGGATGACAGCACCAACGACGACTGATTGATATCAGTTGATGAACTTAGCAGTGGATCAAAAGCTGTTGTTGCTCGACTTTCAGAAATTTGTCTACCTGCAAGACCACCACCACTGCTGACTTCTACTATCAGCTCCGCTTTAGGACTAGCATCTGATGATAGGTGGGCTTCACTCTGATCAATTACACTGACGGTCCGACAAGTATGCACACCTTCTGGAACTGCATCTGCGTTCAATTCTACTTCACGTTGTAGTTGTACAGAACCTTTATTTAACTTAGCAGTAGTAGGCATATCACTCATCTCATCATGATCAACCAAAGACAAATGTGAAGTATCATGATCATTATCACAAATATTCACTTCACCGTCAACTTCATCATTTTCAAACTCTTTAATAACAGAAGTAGACAATTTTGGTTCCTCCTCGCAAATCAAAAAAGGTTTTATAACTTCACTCTGACTAGTAATACCTTGTAAACTTATGGAGTCAGAACTGCACTCTGAAGCAGCAACTCTATTCTGTGACACTCTATTCAACAATGGCTTACCAGTTGCAACTACAGACTTCTTCACAACACCGTTATCGTCACACAATTCGGAGTCAGACCTGGAGTTTACATTTAGCTTATCACTGAACTTGCTCACTGGTTCACAGTTCACTTCTGTATGCACTTCTTGCAAACGTGTGAAACACAACCGTGTTTGTCTTGCATCTTGCAACTTATCTGTTGAGCATGTACTACGAAACCTGTTGCACTCACTAAGTTTATATGCATTACTAGACATCATGGAGCCTTCTCGATATCCACCTCTCTGAGGCTTATTCGTCATCAATGAGTGCGTTTTACCCTCAGACTGCTCTATTCTAGGGGTGAGATGTAATAGACTGGAAAACTTGCTCATAGATTGATTGACGCTATCTTTTACCAGTTTCAGGATATCATCAAACCTTGGCTCGATACCGTCATCCTCCATACGGGAGCTTATCTTCACCCACTTCCTTTGCAGTCGAGTAGGTAGACGTCTTGCTATTACTTCTAGTATAAAACTCGAGTTGAGGTCACTCATGCGATTCATCGAAATCAATGCATTCTTGTAAATTAGCAAATTATCTAAAAACTCAGTGAGTGCCTGGGAGTCATCCTGTAATTGACCACCATTACCCTTAACAGCCTCGAATAATTTCCCTGCAATCATCGAAGGTCTTCCAAACCTTTGACGTAATATGCTCATAGCCTCGTAGTAGCCCTCTTTTGGCTTCATTAACGTACAGCACTGTATAGCTCTTGAAGCATCTCCAGTGCAATATCTCATCAAATACATTAACTTCAATTCATCATTTAATAAAAAACTACTCAGCATGATCTCAAACTCCTTTACAAATTGTAAATAATCAGCCGGGTTTCCATCAAAACACCGTGGTTCTAATTTAGGGAGTTTGATGTTCCTATTATCCCTGAACGGCGAAACAGTAACATCAGCCAGGTCATGCTTAACATCAGACACATCGTTACAATTAACAGACAAGTCACCATGACTTACTTTCCTGTTTGTATCCAAGACACTCTGTCCCTTCTTTGACCCAGGCATTGTTGAACTTGAGCAAATTCCAAAAACGTTCCAGATATTGCTTGTTGAAAGAGGACTTGACCGGCACCAGGAGAAATGGACGGCGACTATCCAAACTTTCACCAACTGTTTGAATTCACCAGAATCTGTTTCCATCATACATCAAATTATGTGAAATTTATATAATAACTTATCCATGCCTGTACAATTGGTATGTTCCTGCATAAACAGGAAGAAATATATATTATATATATCGTCAGAAACTGTCAATCACGTCTCATAAACCGTTAATGCCCAGCTCTCGCTACGCTCGGGCCCACACTGTTCTTCGAAGATTTCAGAAACGCTTAGTTATAACGGACGAAAAAACCAAGACACCGATCTGCCGTTCGATATTTCTGTATTGTTACACCAACATATAAAAAGAATAAGCGAACTAAGGTCTGTGAACAAATATTACAATAATAAATCATTGTATTACTTCTGACGATGTTTCACTCTTCTTTCTGAACAGCGACCGATGAGACGATGACTGTCGTATTGATGCCTCCGCGAAAATTGGGGAAGTTGATTTTAAGCAAACAACCAAGAATCGATCGTTCAATCTTCAGCTCCATTGACAGCTTATGACCTCGCCACGTTGCCCGTGTAATTCGAGGTTGTATCCCGCCTTGCCGCTAGAGGAAGACTTAAGTCGAAACCTGACGTTACACATTACAAACCGTCCCCGCACATGGAGAAACTTGACTATGTGTTTTTAGGTTAGGTAGTTGCACCTCTGTGCACTTTTAGATTGAAAGTCATACCGCTGGACATAGTCTAGTCTTCCAGAATTTTCAGATCTAGCTGAAATTAATGCGATTCTAACAAACACCTTATTGATTTCCAAATCTTTGCGTCATCAGTGTGAAGAAGAACCTGGAAGTTTAAGTGGCCTTAGGACAGAACCACGAGAAGCTTCTGATGCCAAGTTTTGCCGGGATGATAGGAAGAATTGGCTTTTGCGAGGAATTCTACCCAGCTAGGAAACGGGCCTCCAGTACTCTCCTGGCCCATATTGTAAAGCAGAAGATCATGCTGAATGGTATCAGATGCTCCTGAGAAGTTGAAGAAGGCCTCATGACCTTGATCTTCTATGTCTCACTATGATGTCTAATCATTCTATGCTAATATCTTTGTAGCACAGTATCTACTTCTCGTAAGACCAGGTTGTGTTTCATGGGGTGTCTTGTTCTTGTCATGGTATCCCTGGAATCGGTCATCAATCAGACCTTCAAAAAGAGCAGTGCCACTGGGTGCAATCTTAGAGTGCACGAGAGCACATTTTGAAAACCTGCTGACCTACATAAGGTTGACATAGACGCACAAACTATGGCTGACCAGAAACTACTGGCAGACCACACTCAATCTGGATCCAAGCCAGGGAGTTCCTCAGTAGAAATGGCAAAAAGACCACAAAACCCAGAGTCCCACCCCAGACTTCGGCATACCTCCCTCGTAATAAGTTTAATAAGCAGCGTGTCAGTCTAAAAAATGACAAAGCATGGCTAACGAAGCACATTCCCAAAGACGTCACGCAGCATGTGAGAAGGAATACCCCTTCCCGAACTAGAAGTAACATGCCTAACAACGCACATAACTTGGGAATGCAACGTAGAATGGATCCTCAGGATATATGAAGCACTAAACGGGACTCATATAGGCACCATATTAACGAAAATCCTCGTCCAAACTCTCGCACTATCTATGTTAAACCTCGTCAACATAATGAGTATAGGTCGACACTTGATCCCCTCAATAACTTCACTCACACACGTGACGTGAGCCAATATGCATAGGGCTATGAAAGCCCCATGAGGTACAACTACCAGGGTAATCTTAACACAGGGTACCCAGGTCCAGCAAACTACAACCCAAATTGCAGGGCAGACCACCGGTAGATGAACGCAGATGACGACCCATGGATGCTAATAGTCAAAATATGCAACAGGATTATTTTCGGCTGCAGCAAACAATAGCCCCACTCGCTGCACAGTTCATCCAGGAAATAGTACACACACTGACTCTGTCTCACCTCAGAGCCCCTCCAAACATAACGTAGGGATAGTAACAAGTAACCATGTTAACCTCTCCTCCAATAACTCTGGTTTACTAACAATTATGCTCCTGAATGCTAGATCTCTCCTTAATAAAATATCGACGCTTCGCTGCCTGGCATACATAGAACGGCCAACACTAATAATGGTGACTGAAACCTGGCTTACTACTGACATACCTGACGCAAAGCTAGTAATAGACAACTACGACATCTATAGGAAAGATAGAGTTGACAAAAGAGGAGGCGGTTGTTTAATATATGCCTATAAATCCACTAACTCCAATACTTTCAATAACCCAAATACTGACAAGCTCCCAGAATCTAAGTGGATAAGCGTCCACACAAACGAAAGTAAAATTCTCGTGGGATGTATATACAGACCCCCCAATAGCCCTGAAATGGCTGATATAACTATTGCAGAAATACTAGAGCATGTAGCTACTCTGGACTTCGACTACAAAGTAGTATGTGGAGATTTCAACTTACCTGGAGTAAACTGGGATACCTGTGTAACAACAGAAGACAAGGGCCAGGCAACAGATCGTTTTATTATGAAAATCAACACGTATTTATACATATTTCAACTACATTATTATAGACAAGCGCAGTCATCTGATTGGTTGTTTCGGGATTCCTTGACAAATAGAGTTCTCTATCTGCGAATCATATTTTGCCACGTTAACTTTGCTGTGATTGGTTGTTGACTCAGCCTTGTTCATATCTTCTCACGGCCCACTTTAGTGACCTAGACCTTAACGTAGATTAGTGCCAACCAATCGGCTAGCAGCCTGCTCTCACCACACTCGTCCCCCCGTCAAATACGTGCGACTGAAGTCGGCTTGATCTACTTGGTGCAGGCGTCATCGTTGGCTTGTCTCGCTGTATCCATTTCTGGAGCTCGCTGACGTTCACGCGCCTCTTATTGTTCGCCATTGCGACTGTGTCTGCGTAACCCCATCTCGAAGTGACCATATATGGTCCTTCCCACTTTGGAAACTGTTTGCCTGACCCTGTCGAACATTCGTCCATACTTCGGCCCACACCTTCATATGCTGCTTTCGCCCGACCTCCCAGCAGCGTCTCAAGTAGCAGCTCCATCGCTGACAGATCTTGAACGCCACTCAACTGCGCAGAAGCCTTGAAGTCCTGCCCGAAGATCCATATGTCTCCATCAAAAACTGCAGGGTATAGGCTTTTCATTTGTCGGTAGGCAGCGACACCAAATGTAACAACAGAAGACAAGGGCCAGGCAACAGATCGTTTTATTATGAAAATCAACACGTATTTATACATATTTCAACTACATTATTATAGACAAGCTCAGTCATCTGATTGGTTGTTTCGGGATTCCTTGACAAATAGAGTTCTCTATCTGCGAATCATATTTTGCCACGTTAACTTTGCTGTGATTGGTTGTTGACTCAGCCTTGTTCATATCTTCTCACGGCCCACTTTAGTGACCTAGACCTTAACGTAGATTAGTGCCAACCAATCGGCTAGCAGCCTGCTCTCACCACACCTGTACAGGACCTAGAATCCGTGACGAGCTACTACAGGCTATAGACATAGGAGGATGGAAGCAGTGCATGCGCCTCCCTACAAGGAACCAAAATACTCTTGACTTAATCCTCTGTCATAACATAGAGCCCATCTCGATAGAGGTGGAAAATAAACTCGATAACAGTGATCACAACATATTGTACTGCACGCCACCCCTCCGACTAACAACTAAATACACACCTAAAAACTCCCCGGTGCGCTATCAATATAGGGACTATAAGAATGCTGATTGGGAATTCCTATCAGATCTGTTGAGAAGTTCTGACTGGGAAGAATACTTCATCAACAATAACTTGGAAGTATCGCTTGGGATTTTCTACAAAACAGTTGGCTCAGCAAGAGACACAATCGCGCCCCTAAAATCTGCCCTAAAGACACCAACTCCATTTATTGATAATAATAATAATAATAATGTATATTCTCATATAAACATATAAATTTACATGAAAATGCATGCCATTTTTACAGGCACGATCAAGTATGATATAATATCAAATCGTAGATTGTCTACAAGTTAATAATGTTTCAACAGTTAAATATTTGATATATATATAAATACACATTGTCTGAACTAGGCTGTATAGTTATTGAATTGTACAATTGTCCTCCAGGTTGAGCGGGAAAATCGACTTCGTTTCGTTTTCATCCCGTGGTTGTCGGCATACGATAACCAACCAATATTGAGGTAAGTACAACGTTTACAAGGGATTGAAAGCTGTTTTAGAAAAGTAAAAGTGCTGAGGTGAATCATTAAATTGTAATGAAATAGGTAAGTGCAAGTATCATTGATAAATGCATTAAAAAAAGAAAACTCCCTAGGCTGACAACGTTCATTTGCAATGTATAATGCAACACATATACCTCGTACTATCATGATGTCCAATTTTGGTTTTAATACATTTATCCTCAGTTGTGCCAGTTGTTTTTGTTTTATACCTTTTTGTGCATTTAATGTACAACCGTACCCTTCAGAGAGTAGGAATATAATAAGTCATAAAGAGCTGTAAAATGTTAGGTTTAATGGAATATAATGAGGATCAAGTAAAGACGTTATTGGAAAATGAATGAGATAAGACATTGTGAAGTGGTATTTAAAGATCAGTCAATGGACAGCAAGTTAGTTTATAGGATGCCCCATAAAACTGTGCACGTCCCACATGGTCGCATCTCAACAATAGGCTGGGCGAATAGTATATATTTAGTATATATTTGACCGGAAAACGCGACTAAAACTAAAGAAATTGGAAAGGAACTACCGTGTATTTAAGGAATTTAATGAGGTAAACCAAATACATGAAACTCTTAAACTGCTTGAAGAGAAACACAAAATGAAGTCACAACATTTTTTTTAATTTTTTATTTTTTATTTACAGCTTGATTCCACACTGTATTTTCGGTACAAGTATGAAATTTTCAGCATGGATATCGGTAGCCCAAATTTTGCAGGCCGACCATAGATATCAGGTGTGCGTCGGTGCGGGCTCGAATTTCGGACCATATGCATGATCGGCGAGAGACCTAACCACTGTGCCACCGACGCACATGAGGAAAATAAAGCGCTAATGGGTTACACCAAAACTCAGGAACTTTGTAGGATATTGCAAAAACGTCTAAAAAGCAGTAAAGACAATAATGTAAGCATCTTGGAACATAGGGGTGTAATATACAACGATCCCCAGGTTATAAGTGAACTCCTCAGTGAGTGGTTTTGCAATGACACCAGAGTGCACCCGACCCCAAATTTCCAAATGACCTGCAAAAGTAACCACAAATTAGGAGAAATAGATTTTAATATAAAATATAGACTCAGCGATTAAGACATTGAAGTCAAATGGCAGTACTGGAACAGACGACATACCATCTGTCATATACAAAAATGGTAGCACGGAAATGGTAGTCTTGTTACTTAGAATATTTACTCTGTCACTGGAAACTGGAACTTATCCTGAAGTGTGGAAAACCACATACACACTACCTAAGCACAAAGCAGGGGCCAAAACCAGTGCATGCAACTATAGACCTATTAATATAACACCGGTAATATCACGAATAATGGAGAAAGTGGTTAAAGACCAAGTGTCAGACAACTTACTAGAACATGAACTTATCAACCCATCACAACACGGATTCCTCAAAAAGAGATCATGTTGACCTGTCACATAGACTTTTTCAATGAAGTTACACGAAGCAGGGACAACAGAGAACTAGTAATTGTGCTATATTTCGATATAACAAAAGCCTTCGATAGAGTCCCCCATAATCTGCTAGTCAGCAGGTTATGCTCACTAGGGATATGTGACCCTCTCCTGAGCTGGATAAAATCATTTCTCTGTGACAGGAATCAGATAACAAAAGTTGGCTCGATAATCTCAAGGCCTAAACCAGTAAGTAGTGGTGTAATCCAGGGAAGTGTATTAGGCCCACTCCTATTCATAATATATATAAACAGTATCTGTGAATGCTTTAGTGTTGGTAAACCAATACTATATGCAGATGACTTAAAAGTGACCTATAAATGCAAGAACACAGATCTCGGAATAACAGTAAACGCCATACAGCAAGAATTAGAAAAAATGGATAGATGGTGTGACACCTGGCAACTCCAGTTTAATGTCGACAAATGTGGCTGGCTCTGCATAGGTTGCAACAATTTAGAACTTGACCTGACAATTCAAGGCCATGCACTCTTACGACTGGAATCTGTATTGGACCTAGGACTGAAATACTCACATGACTTATCATTTTCTGAACATATCTCCAAACAAGTGTCAAAGTCACGCAGACTTATCGGCTTTCTACTCAGGAACTTTTACAGAAATGAGTCCAGAATTCTGTTGTACAAGGTTTGTGTGCGTCCTTTATTTGATTACTGTTCATTCATGTATAGTAGTATACGCATAGAGGACAAATTGAAAGTCGAGGGAGTGCAGAGGTACTTCACGTCAAAATTACTCGGAACCGAAAATGGTGCGAACTACTCCACTAGATGTGACACCCTAGGATTAGAAACACTATGGCTAAGACGCCTGAGACTAAACTTAACACTTTACTATAAGCTTCTAAACCACTTAGTTTTTACCTCTACTAATGGCATTCGACTTTCAGATGACAGTGGCTACAAACTAAGACACACTAAGGGTACAGTAGCTATCGAACAATGTAAAACAGCTACCAGGCAAAAGTTTTACTTGATTAGGTATGCACAGATATGGAATAAACTACCAATGGAAATGCGTCAAGCAGGTACATTGGCCTCCTTCAAAAAAGTGCTTAACGACAAACTACAAGAGTTTGCAAACGACAGTAGTCCTAGTTCCTATCTGAGAGCCTCCGAAATTATAGGTCCATTTAATGTATAAGCTTAAATACTACACCTGCTGTTTTTGCCTATATTTATAATTTTAGATAAAACATTAACGATTAAGATACTTACCCTCAAACAGACAAGAAGTTTCGTTTGTAAAACTTCTACCCAACACAATAAGTGGAATAAAATGGACATAAACCGACAACATGAAAAAGATATAACTCACCACAACATCACATGGACAGATGTACGCTCGTCGGACATCATATATGCCTCACCAACTACAACCCAACTTTCCTAAGATAATGTGATGAACTTATATCCGTAATGTTGCTGAGCAGTCAATATCCACAACTCCTGTCGGAACAACTAAAATTCAAAAACCTTCCTCACGAGAAGTAAATACCCCAAGCAGTAGAAATCCATTAATTAATGCGTCTAAAGCTTATGTATTTTACTCCCAACAATGACATTGCAGATCAAATGAGATAAACATATCACTGATTTCAAAATAACACATCAATGAACTATAATTCAAGGATTCTGCACACAACAAAGTAATGTACGAAAATTGACTTCAAGCTTTATTTTTTTTCCCAGGCACTTATAACCCATCCACCAAAGACCTGGTTTTTTTGTTAATGCGAAGACAATACTTCTGTATTTCCTGATGTGTTGCACTCACTGACAATCTAGCGGATTTTTCCAACTATGCACAGAAATGATTGTACATAAGTGAAAAGGATGTTTTATACTATTCGGATTAACATTTATCAAGTGTATGTATAATCTCCAGTGTACATGTTAAACATATTTTGCTATCGACTGTAAATTGTGACTGAATAATATGGTCCTATTTCTGTAACAATTTGATGATGCCTGTAAACTGGCGTCCCTCATGTACTGTTTCATGAGAATAAATTTATTTATTTATTTTAAAATACCTTCAACACCACTGGGAGTGTCCGTATAACTCGCTGTGTCTAGCTATTCCTCGTTCTTGCGAAATAGGAAAAAAAGTGGTTCTCCCCCACTTCACTGGTGGTTCTACTTAATCCAGAGAATACTGAAATAGGCCACACTATGATGTGCAGAGATATTTTTTGAAATGCTTCAGAATATTGGAAATGGCATGATGCTTAGTGTCCCTTTCAGATAAATAAATGCCTCCTTAAATCCAACTTCTGAGATATAACGATGACTTTAAGTCTCCTCACACTTCTATGTTTCTCAAAGTGAAGAAAAGGGTATAGCTCTCCCATCCGAAACCAGCAACACTACGGCTACGAAATCTCGGTTTGTTGTGTGTTTCTTTCTACTTGGCCGGACTTCTTGAACGAACTAAAATATTCTTTCTCTAGCTATGCATAATATCAGTCCCTTTTATATCTAC